TACACACTGGTGATGGGATATTGTGATTTTCTAGGAATGTTGTAAAGGAGGTCATTTGAAAATGTAAACACTTACAGATTGGAAAGAAAGTGTTGTGTATGATATGCCGTGTGAGAACTGTTGTGAGAAATTATTTTTTAAAAATCAGTTTTGACATAAACTAATGAACTAATTATTAATAATAACATGCAAAGAAAATATCAAAAAATGTGTTTATTTCAGAAGTGTGTATGAAACTGGTAACCCTTCGAATTAACCCGTAACCAAGAAGTAGCTGTCAGTTTCAAAAAGGTTAGTAAAGCCTGCGCTCGACAATATAGTGACACTGCTGACAACCACAGACACAAAAAAAAAACAATGTTATTAGATATTTGCGAAGTTGACTCTGAATATAAAGTCTTCTCAAACATTACTCATAACGCGATTATACACTGTGATACTAAAACAATGCTGGTAATGACAAACACAGCGAAAACAAATTAAGGTTATGGTTAACATTTATACGGCACGCAACAGTTTGCAGAAACGCCTCATTAAAGGTGAAGTTGTGTCTTGTCTTACTCTCAGTGCAGCAAGGTCTATGCTGTCCAGACTTCGGGTGGTATTTTCGGTCGACATTGCTGCCACTAATGTTGTCAAGACGTTGATATCTGTGGTCAAGTCATGGACGCGGTGAGTTCTCTTTTCGTCAAACTAACGGACTAGTCTCTTGGGTCCATTCTGAAGTTATGCTAACAGTATCAAGCTACCATGTCAATCACGCCTTTTCCGGAGGTACTTTTCACAATAATGCAAATATAGGAAGTACAGTGCTATCATTTTACGAGGTGGTTATCACATTCTCGAATACTTTGTGTCATGTTTTGACTTAGTTTGGGAACATAGATTTAAATCTTTAATTTCAATAACGTTTTTTTCTTTCAAATATCTCACTCTTTCGTCCCTCACTGATCTTTTTTCTGGTTCCAGTTTTTTCAAATTTGCCTGTCTCGACTCACATTACTCAGACGTCTTCTAACTTGATCTGTTCCTCCAAAAACCAACAGTTCTGCTTCCTCCTTGTTAAACAGCGCCAAGAAAAACAAAAACTCAGTCAACAGATCCCAACTGAAAGGAAAAATCTTGATATACCCCCCACCCCTTAATGAGATTGATGTATTGATATATACAGGATTTTTTTTTTTAAATAAAAGCTCTGACACTATGATATTGCATAGTATGAGAAAAATAAGGACGTAGATCGGGGTCACAGACATGGTGGCCACGGGCACCAGTTAGCCCCCAAGGACCACATGAGGAGCATGCAGGCCTATTCCAAAAATAGCTCATCAGTGATGGGACATTGTAATTTCCTTGGAATGGTGTAGAAGTGTTCATTTGAAAACGTGAACACTGGCAGAGATTTTTAAAAGTAAAATGTCGCTTTCAGATATTTTTCTGTTTCCTAATTTTCGTGAGAAATCTTTATACTATGAGAAATATCTTTATGTATTTGAATATTATTCATTGTAATAACATATGCATGATTAATGGTAGTTTGAGCAAATTTGTAAATCAGTAGCAAAGAGGTAACGCAGTTTCCAAAAGTTTGGTGACCACTGAATTAGAGTAATATACCGGGTAATACAGTTTTGAGTTAGTGGATGAATTTAAATGTATTTTATAAAATGGATAGATGCAATAAAATATTGACATAAGAATTGATGCCAAAAAAAGGTGTCATGGCATAGTCGGTGAGTCACAGTCATCCATCCATTTTCTGATCAGCTTGATCCTCACAAGGGTCGCGGGGGGTGAGGGGGGTGCTGGAGCCTATCCCAGCCGTCTTCGGGCAGTAGGCGGGGACACGCTGTAAAAGTTGCCAGCCAATCGCATGGCACACAGAGACGAACAACCATCTGCGCTCACCCTCACACCTAGGGACAATTTAGAGTGTTCAATTAGCCTGCCATGCATGTTTTTGTTTTGTGGGAAGAAACCGGAGTACCCGGAGAAAACCCACGCAGGCCCGGGGAGAACATGCAAACTCCACACAGGAAGGCCGGAGCCGGGATCTAACCAATGACCTCTGGACTGTGAGGTCGACGTGCTAACCACTCGTCCACCGGGCCGCCGAGTCACAGTCAGCATGGTAAAATAATACGATCTTTTATGTAGTACACAGTTTGTATGTGTGCATGTTCGAAAGAATAAAGGATTATGACCAAAAGATGGCAAGTAACTCTTTCGCACTGTTTTTGTGTGTGTATGTGTGTGTGTGTGTGTGTGTGTGTGTGTGTGTGTGTGTGTGTGTGTGTGTGAGTGTGTGTGTGTGTGTGTGTGTGTGCCACAGCGAAGAATGCTCTCTCTGTGGTCTCACACACAGTGGCCCTGTTCACACCAGGGTCAGCTGCCTACACACACATGCACACATTTCTTACGGCAAATCAATCTGAACCACACGTCATTCTTTAAAACAATTAAAGAGCATTCCAGTGAGTGACTGTTTTCTGTTGCTCTTTCCAAGTTGCCATTACTTTGAATTCATTTTCTTATTTACAGGGGAATACACATTGACCAAACAACAACAATGATGAACTGAACCTCAACATTTCCCAGCATTTTTTGTGCAGTCATTCACATGACTGTGTGGTTTTGAACAACAGGAGTTTCAAGAAACAGTGACACTAGTCAATTCGTACTGGACAACGAAACACTCAAATAAATAAATACATAAATAAATAACAACAACAATAAAAATAATAATTATTCTCTTTACCCGAACACTGAAATCTACGAAAATGACCTTCCCTGACAATGACTTTGAAGTAAGTCTCACGTGTTTATAACTGACACTGACTATTGGGCATGACTGACCTCATCCACTTTTTTCCTTGATCTATGGGACATAATTTATTGTTTTCCATTAAATTCTGCCTGTCAAGAAAAAATCCTGCAACTATAATGTGACATCAATTGGATTAACTGGAAATCATGTAATTCATCTGTGCAGTAGGTTTGGAACGTTGCCACAGAAAGATACAGTGAAAGTAGCAAAAGCACATCAGACAATAAAAAGGATGACTGTAATTCAAGGCATTTGTTCCTTTGTTTTTAATTGTATTAATTTATTCCAAGCAGTCCATTTTCTTCCTTCTTGCATAGTGTTTCTCTTGGCTGCACTGCTCCCAGCATGTGTACAGTAAAATGTAGATGTTGTTTTTTTTTTGTCCAAGCTGATTTCAGTTTAAATTGGGTAAATCCCCAATGAAGGCCTAAGTACAAAATTCACGGCCAGTCACTGCTTAAAACACGTAGTGGAAACTGGTAATTTTTGACAAGCTTGAGGATATAAATACAGCACTCAAATAAATTTGAGTTTAGAGAGTAACAAATTGGGAATATGCAGGCCATATATCTATTGTGGACCAGTACTGAGAGAAGTTCCGAAATGAAATTCACAAGTTGGTGCACTGTGAAATGAACGCTACATTTCAAAATCGTCATTACATCCTCAAATAATGAGTCAACCAGGACGTGCCAAATGTCAACCTATGTGCCTCTGAGGGCTAATAATCAGTCTTCTAACACTCATAAATGATAAACTCACTCACCATAGATGCACCAGCATAATCTAGTGAGACTACAGTACATCAAACATTTAGCCTTTACACTGTCAAAGTGGTGCTTACTTATTATTCATAATTTTTCCCTTTCAATATTAATAGAGGGCAAGAATGTATCATTTAAAGCCAAGACAATTGGAGTCCAGCAAAAGATCATTCAACATATTTTATGGACACTCACAACATTAAAAATGATTTATTTCAAAGTCACTGCAACGTTTAGTTTTTATCATTCAATTTTTTCAGCTGATTGGATGAGATTGATCGCTGTTACACAATTCCAAACGTCTACAGTAGTGCTTCTATAGTCAACAGTCGTAGTCAACAGTGTTAAGTGGTTCAGTGATATCACATCCACATATGTTTTAAACATGGTTTTATTGATCCCAACAAGTTAATTGATAAAACGAGTCTTTCTATCCTGCATATTCTTTTTTTTTATACTTATATTTAAGAATGTGGCCTTGAAACTGCCGCCCACCAGGTCATGAAGGTGTAACATCCCCTTTTGCCTGTCTGCAATGTCCACTCACAGTGAAATATAAATTGAGCTAGAAAAAAAAAAGTTCAGAAATTAGAAATACCGTACGTTTGTTAAACAGTACAGAGTTAGTTTTACAAACTAAATTATGTTAAGTGAGGTCCAACACTTACAGTAATATAAGATTACTACAAGATGCCTCTCCCCACTTATGTTGCTGTTTGTATGCACATTGTCTGATTGTAATTTATTTATACAAGAAAAAATGAATGGGCGCTTGGCCAATAGTCATTCTTAACACCATAGCATCTACCGGTACTTAATACAATAAATATAAAGATCACTGGGAAATTTCAACTTTTGGGGGTGAAATTGGGAAGTCTCAAAGGCACCTTATAGGTGATATTCACTACGGTGCTCCTTTCCGTCAGATTATTAAAAAAAAGAATGACTCCAATCATAACTTATCCTTTGAAAAAAAACTGAAAAAATATTTGAAATGTACCGGTAGTCATTGTCTTTCCGTATTGCACCTGTTTCACTTCGATGTGCTTAAATGTTCTGTGTCCATTCATGTCTTGCCATCCAATGATCCCGTGCTGACTTACATCCATGGAGGAAAAGCCATTTGATGCTAATTATATTTCCTGACAGGCTGTAATTGGAAAAAAGGGATTTGCAGAGTATGAACTTAAATAAGAGGAGGCGATCATCCAGCTCCTGTACCTAGCACCCCTGCAGCAAGGAGCATGATTGTTGGGTCTTCCAAATGATGAATGAGAGAGGAAGTTGAAGACATCAAGGGACGAGAAGATATGAAATCTGCAGTTGAAGGGGATGATGATGAGGGTCAAGCAGTGTGCAGAGAGCTGGAATATGCATTAGAATAGCAGGAAGAACCACTGAAAAATATATAAAACAACTCATGAACTTTATTTTTCTTTAAATTATTCCAACCGATATATTCAAAGAATATTCAACACAATTTCTGTAAATCAAAAGACAACCACTAGACTTTATATTGCAATTGGATATAACACCCATCCATGTAAATTATAATTATTGTATCAAATCATCTCCAATATCCAGAATTCATTGGTTCCATTCCTGTTAAGACAATGACAGAACTTTTGCATAAATTCAAAACAGGTTCTCTGCTTAAATATCATGGTACGAATAATAATCAGTTTTATTTCTTAAAGCTCACAAAGAACAATGCCGTTGACACTCCCTGTTGACTTTTACTTGTCCATCATGAAAGATAAACAAAACGACATGGAACAGAAATTGTAGGGAAGAAATCACTCCTGTATAGATCTATGTGTACATTATTGAAGCTGTACAGAGATTATTGGAACAAAACGACACTTAAAACTAAGCCAGGTAAACCACTCACCTAAGTTAAAGAAGGATTAAAGTGTCAACAAAGCCAAACAAAACAAATTAAATTGCAATATTTAGGAGAACCGCTCCTTTTTTTCTGTAACCACCCGATCCATCCCCCATGTCAAAAGATGCTGCGACAAATGATTGTGTCATTTAGTCTACCTATTGTTTTTTTTCCTTCTTTTTTTTTCTCTTATATATCCAAATGTGTGATCATGCACATAAAAAATCCATTTCCTTGACGCCTGCAGATTCAGGGTAAAGGTTTTCCAGTTCATCTTTTCACCAGTTCAACCAGCTGAACACTGAAGTGGCTTCTCTTTTCCATTGCTATCCTCTTCCCTCAACAAATAAACAATCTAGATCCACGTGCACCACCTTATACATCCATTTTCTATACTGCTAATTCTCATTGGGGTCATGGGTGTGCTGGAGCGTGTTCCAGTTGACCTCAGGCAGAAGGTGGGGGGCAACCAGGACTGGACACCATTCAATCACAGGGCAGGGACAATTTAGAGTCTTCAATTTAAGCTAACCTGCATGTTTGAAGTGTGTGGGAAGAAACCAGTGTACCCAGAGAAACCCCATGTAGGCACAAGTGTCGGCGTACAGGCTCGCCAGTCGGTCACTGTGCCGCTGTAAACATCATTTCACTCTTAATTTCCTATTTTGTTTTTTATTTGATTGAGACTGATTGAATCAATCAATCAATCGATCAATCAATCAAATGTAATCAATGGATGTCTTCCATCGAAGTACAGCATTAGAATCTTATAGCTAATAAAGCACATATACTGTTTGTACTGATAAGAATGGAATGGTGTCCCAAGTTTATTGGTTGTGATTATTCATTTTATGACCTGACCATGTGGGACATGAATTTTCTAACAACCAAATATTCCAAGTTGTTAAGGAACTTAAAAGCATCAGGTATCTAGACCAACTTTTTTTTCTCCCCAAGGTCCAACACTCGTGTATTAGGTCTACACTGGGGGGAAAAAAAAATAAAGTCAAAATGTGAGAATGGGGTTAAATATAGTGTCGGTATTATAATTTAGTCGTATCTTAACTGATGTACTTCATGATCTACGGTGAAACAGTGGAAATCTGCGGTTGTGTGGCGATTTTAACAGTTACTCATTGAAATAACAGTATTACTGCTTGTGACTTTAGTCTTGTGATTTTATTTATTTTTCTCTTCTCAATGTGGTACTAACACAAACCCATGGCTGGTGGATCACTAAAGAGTGTCTTAATATCCGGGATCTTTCTCGTTCGCCATTCAAGACATCAACAAATCCTCCATGTCCATGCGTCTTCCTCAAATTTTCTGTGGCATGTCTACTTGTATTGCAAGCAAATGTGTCCTTTTAAATCCTACTCCCCACTTGATATCAGTCTGTAACTCAGTGGTAGGGTCAGAACAAATATACAATCAGTTTAATCAATCAGTTTATGTTGGTCGAGAAGCAGTCCAGATCTCGTCCGGTTTAGAATAAGTAAGCAGTTTTTGTTCACGGCATGGATTGAAGAGACCCCAACCCATGTCTGCAGAAGGTCCAAGAAACATTTGTCCCAAGTCAGTGAGAATTTCTTTGTAAACCAATAGTCTTTAATCCAGAATCAGCACAGTTCCTGTCCAAAGTTTCTACCAGATATCAGAGCTTAGTTCTCTGCTGGTGAGTGGGACAAAGGTGCTGTTCAGGGGAAGATTGGGCTTCTTTCCAAGTGTGCTGCTCTGTGATACCTGGGGGACACACAACATAACATGGCGATAAGCAATTATCACCTTCAAAATCCAACGTTGTGATTATTATTATTTATATTACTGATGAAATTAATTTCAAATTCAATTTTTCACAAAATGCCCCCATTAATGTGGAATACATCAAATTTCAGGGGCTCAAAATTATTTGGATACAGTGACAGTCAAGTGCTTGCTGTAAATCTAACAAAATTTACTTGGATGAAAATTTTTTTCCGGATTCCTCCCTGGATATAATTTTGCCAGGCTTTCATTCCAGCCACCTTGTTTGTGTTACTTTTTTCTTGTCTCCAGTTGGTGAGCGAGTTCGATTTGGCCACCTACCCGTCAACTAGGAAAAAAATCAAACTACTGCTTTACATTCAAACACTGAGTTGTTGCTGTCAATGGAAGAAAGCAAAATTTTGCTTGGTCAAGGAAAAAAAAAAACCCTCACAACATTAACAGAAGTATAACAAGAGCAAATTCTGCAGTCAAGACATGCCTTCGTGAATGTACTGTAAATATAGTATTTAAATCAAGGTACAAACCACTGGTAACAAAACATGGAAAACCGATCTAAAAAGACCTAAACAAGCCTCCATTATTCTGAAATACTACTCTTTGGGCTGATGAAACATCAATATGGTTTCAAAGGAAGAGAATTATATTGAGAAGTATATGAACACTACTGATCCATAGCATACCGTCACATGCATTTTAGTTACTAAGACAAAACTGAAGTACCACAAACAAGTAGAATGTGATGGTGGCAACAGCGAAAGCCTGGAAAAAGCATCTCCAGGGAGGTTTGAATTGAGTCAGGGGCTCTCTACTTTAGTCGGTCACTGACAGCAAATTATTTTCATTTAAGAATTCAACAACCTTTTCAAACCTTACTTTGAAGCCCCTGAAAATATGTTTGTGAAACCTTAACGCTGAATGTCTACGTTTCTATCACATTGATTGTCTTGCTTGGAATCAATTTTGCTGGCGCATAAAGGCAAAATCATGAATCCTCATTGTCCTCTTCCAAATGCATTTGAACCACACTCTATGTGGATAACATCATGGCATTAAAATATCCACACACCAGTTAATCAGAAATACACAAAAATATAAGGGTGGATGAAATTTCCTTTCTACATTTCTTTTATCCAAACAGACCTCTTCTTCCCCAGTCAACTGCCCTGAACCCCTAGGGAGAAAAGAGGGGTTTTAGTTGAAATAGGTTTCAAATCTGGGGACATGCACACAAACAGAAGAGTTAAGGGTTAAGAAAAAGGATAAGACTGCTACGAGGTAACAACCAACTGACAGACATCAATGGAAGCGCCTTTTCTTCCCACCTGTCCATTCAGAATTGTCATGGGGATGTTGCAGTAGACATGGCGTCCCCCAGGGCCCAGAGTGGAGAACTGCATGGTGGATGGAGGTGGGAGAGGGGGCGACATGGCAGGTGGCTGTGGGGGAAGATGAAACTCGTAGCTACGGCAAAAATGCCTCATTTGGGCTGCGGTAGCCATGTGACCCCCTCCAAGAGGCAAGGTCATCTGGTTGTAGTCCGGGATCTCTGTTGCCAAGGGAACCTACAGAGGAAAAATCAGAACACACCTTTAACTTGTGTCATGCAGTCTGACAAAACATGGCAATGAAAAGGACGTAATGACAAGGTGTATTTTTTCGGGGGCCTTGCATTCAAGGTGAAAAAAAAACAAACTTTTAAGCCAAATATACTGTATGGAAAGTGGAGAAATACTCAGAGGTAATTGTACAGTACCAAGAGGAGGCATTTATCAGTCAATGAAACCACAAAAGCATGCTTTTAAACCAATTATAAAAGATAATCAAAGATGACAGCCAATATTTGAAGTCGATTAATTGTAACAGTTGACCTGATGATGTCCGTGCCGATTCTCACTTGGAGGCACCAGGGATGCTGAGGTGGTTGTCATGGCAATGGTGGAGACGGATGTTTGTAGGTCTCCAAAGAGTCCCTGCTCACCCGAGTCCATCACCTGTTACCACGGACAAGTTCCAAAAGATGTTCAAGAGGAGACAAAGAATTGATTCTGCAAATCAGGAGAATTTACTTTTCAATGAGAAACTATGAATGTGATGGAAAGCACATTTGTTTTTTGGCTTTTAATGAACATATCTTTTCGGTTAAACTCCGAAGAAATATGATTTATTGATTGTTGGACTAGGTACTCTGAATGCAGACAATTGACAGTGGGCATTGTACTTGCGACGTATAAAGCGTATTGGTTTTTTTTGTTTTGTTTTGTTTTGTCTTGTTTTTGTAATGAATTTGTAACATCCATTATGATTCTTCAAGGGAAAATTCAATTTACATGAGAATGATGGGGCTGAGGTTCAGTCCCTTGTTCAACATTAGTGAGGGTTCTAATTTGTTTTGCCCAAAGCGGTACTTGAACAAATACTGCCTTTTTTTTCCCTCATCATTATTTTAATTTTTATTCTTCTTTGAGTTATTAAAATATTGAGATAATCCACCTTATTGCTATTCAGTCTACAATGTGCTATTGAGCAACATAAATGGTTCATGTTCAATAGTGGTGTGAAGACGTGCAGGTTTGAGTGCTCATTGGCCAATGATTTGAAAAGGCACTTCTTCTTGTACGTACATCGATAAAGCATACTTTATATGGTGGAATCATTTTCATGATTAATAATGTAATAATTAAATTAATAATGCATCACATACTTGTCGTGATTTTCATAGCACCCAAAGATGCTTTACATTGACATTCAAATGCCCCCCCACCAAAAAAAAAACCAAAAAAAAACAAACTGAAATGCAACATGCCATATGAGCCTTTTGAGGAACGTCTGTCATTTTTTGTCCATGTTTTCAACTGAAGATGAGCACAAATCTGCAATGTTCATGGGAAAAAGTGGATTCTTGGGTAAAAGAAAAAAATGTGAAAGATACCACATTTGAGTGCTTCTGACAAATGATTGAAGGTTTTTGACACGTTGCTGTTCATTATACTTTGCTTGGATTAGTTTGGCTCTAATTAGGGATGGAGTGTTTTTTGGGGGGCTTTTTTCCACCTTTCCATTAAGCAGCAGAAACACATTTTTCTTTTCAGAGGCTCTTTCACCAATTTCACACGAAATTAGCAATAGTTGATGGCACTTTATGGACCATCTGTTGGTTGTTTAAGTCTGAACCCGAGAGGTGCAAAAGAGACTGATAGATATCAAAAAATATATTTACTTACAGAAAAAAGGCGCGAGGCCGACAAAGTACAAATAATGACTCTGAGACCATAACCAGGATAAGAATGAGAACAAAAAGCGCTTGCAAAAAGCAAGGAGAAGATACATGTAAATAGCTTGTCACAAAAGGACGACAAATACAAACGAGAATATCTTCACAAAAAAATCAAGAATAGGACTTACGATGGAAAAACCACAAAACAAGGCCACAGTACTATGACGCAATAACGTGGAACGTGGAAAACATGGTAAAAATGTGAGTGCAGTAAAACGTGCACTTTGAAAAAATAAAATATTGCCTTAAAGACAATAATGGTGTCATTTGATAGAACTTTTGACTTGCAAGTCGGATGACTGAAGAGTCGGATGATACAAGACGGTGTTTGGCCGATGTATGCATTTTTTTATTTATTTCTTGAGTTAGGAGCAAATATATCAATTAGGAGTGCTCGAGATGGTGGCAACTATCTTCACAACAAGCAGCAATTTTTGGAAAAAAGAGGCCAGTTCATCATACTTCAAGCTGTTTATTGACACTGCCAGTTAAAGTTTTCTGTGTATTTTAACCAAACCCAAACCATAGCTTTGTCTTATGAACACCTGCTAGCTTAATGCTAGCATACAAAACTTATAATTAATTCATTTGACTCATTACCTGACGTCTGGATATAGTCTCTCTTCGCTTAGCAGGCATCTCATAGACCACCTGTTTCCAAAACTTTGATGACAGTTCATTGTTCTTTGGACCCCTCCATTTGATGATCGATAAAACCTGAGCAGAGGTGATGAGATATTGTTCTCGTTCATAGTTTTTAAATGACAAATCAGATCATCTTTCACTGTGTTCACCGTTCTCTGAATACCTTGATTGTATGTTTAAGTGCTTCCACCTCTTGGTAGTTGATCACACTCCTCAAATCAGCACATTCAATCATGATTACCTAACCACATATAAAGACACAAGTAGAATACTCGAAGGAGAATGACAAGCAGTAAAATCTCTAAATTGGGTCAATTAAAAAAACAATACTAATTATATCTTGTCTTATTTGGCTTTGAGCCCTTTTGACACAACCTCTTAGCAGGTGCAAGGGCCAAGGCTACTTTGTATCTTCTCATGAATTGCGAATTATTGTTATTGAATATCCAAAACTGAATAAAAATGTTCCTCATATCTAACAATTATAGAAGATCCTCAAGCTCTCAACTCTTCTAGTTGTATCATTGTCCCAGGTCGGATTGTGTTCGACCATGGAGCGTCCATTGTAAAGTACAATGAAATACTGATAATTCAAAAATGTATGTTGACAAGTCTCTCAAGCTGTCGGTTTACCTTGATTTCCCCAGTGACCAGCATGGAGTGGAGGCGTGTTTCTATCTGAAAGATGCTCCAACCTCTCTTGGCCACAAACTCTGGTGTCAAAACGATGATCAACCGTCTGCTCTGCAGCACACTACGAGCTAGGTCCTCAATGTATGCTAAGAGAGAGGAACAGAGAGAGGGAGAGAGAGAGAGAGAGAGAGAGAGAGAGAGAGAGAGAGAGAGAGAGAGAGGAACAGAGAGAGAGAGAGAGCGAGAGAGAGAGAGAGAGAGAGAGAGAGAGAGAGAGAGAGAGAGAGAGAGAGAGAGGCATTCAATTGTGAGTTGCATGTGTTTTCATTTTTTTTAAAAATGACCGCGTGCATATGAACATGTGCATTTATATTTCATGTTTTGCATGTTATATTTGGAGTCATTGCCAAGTTTTTTGAAATCAATTCTATGTGGTTGGAAAACGGTTATAAAGAGACTGGACTGTACATAACATGAAATGATGATATATAGATTATGATAGGAAACCTGCTTCCATTAACATCCCTGATTTAAAAAAAAAAAAAAAACATCTGTTTTCCTTTTGAAAATAACAAAATAGAAGAAAAATAAACCCTTTCATTTTAAATACTTCTAAATGGTGGTATAAAAATGATTACTGTCTGTACACCGTGAATGAGATTTTTACTTTCTGGACCAGGATTTGAGACCCCTGCTTAATACACTAATTAGATTGGAGGTTGGCTGACTCCTGACTTTGATTAGCTCTTGGAGGACTCATTAGCCTTGGGGTTCAAATACTTTTTTTTTACTCTGCCCAGTGAATATTTCCAATAAAAATATTAAACCATATAAAGCAGACTGTCTATTGTTGTGACCCAGGTGAGATCACATTTCATGCCCAATTTATACAGAAATGCAAGTAAAGTAATTCCAAATGATTCAAATAATTTAATCCACATTTTATGAAGTGGAGATGTGGTAAAACCTTCCTTTTTTGGTTCACCTCTTAAATTTCATTTAAGTGACAGCTGCATATGCAGGACATTTGGCTTTGACAACTGAGTCAGAGCAGATGATAATTAATGGGGAATGACTATAAACACCTTTTTAAAATGCTTGCATAAAGAGTTGAGTCTTAAAAGTGCCCTCCCATCCATCAAGTCTAAATTTAAACAACCAAGTAAATAATTTGTTAGCTGCCAAAAATATTTTCCACAAATGTGTCTGTGGGAGAGCCATTTTTACATTTTGGCCAACTAATTTACATGCTACCGCTTCCACAATGATTTTGTCACGCCGTAATTTCGAAGCCGGCTCAAGATTGAGATGAGCTGCACCATTAGCACAGGTTAGCCATAGTGTTAGCGTCTGTTAAATGGTGCATACTTGAATCTTAGGATAAATTATTGACAGGGGTTGAGTGTGTTATTTGTGTTTGGCGTATGTATGCTTTGTGTACCACAATGATGGATTCATTACTCTAACTGACAAGTATAATTTATCAACTTAGTGATGAAGAGAGAAAATAGAATACTTCGTCAAATGGCGCTTGCTTGTTTTCTCATCGATCTGGGCTACTTGTAGCGCTTGCCTTATCCCACCCTCCGAGTTTTGCCCGCTAACAATATGAATGAAAGCAGAGAGGCACGGAGTGAGCAGTCTTTTTGTTGCTTTCGACTGAATGCCTCTGACAACACGATCCAAAAAACTTCAACCAGGGTGAAATAAATGGCTGTTAAGTGTGCTCTAATTCTTTATCCTTTGTGTAATTTGACGGAAAATGCCAGAGACCTCTTATTAACACCCAGGCGAACACACCTGCGAACTGAAGAAAAAAAAAACCCGAAAAAAAAACCATTACCTTCCTTGAAGGACAAGAGATTTGTAGTCAAAGGTGTGTGTCCTTGGTTATAAATTTGAGCTCAACATTTTTTTTTACATCTATTGTGTTTTGTAGTTATCCTTTTTGATGCAGGTGACTTTCTAAAAAAAAAAAAAAAAAATGGTGATGTTTGTGAGATCCTTAGTTAATTTTCAGAAAACATGACACCCTTAAACTGTTCATTTAAACAAGATTTGCATGAATTGATATAAATAACATTTCCAGCAAACCCTCTGTAATTTCATACTCGGTAATTAATTGGATTGGCACAAGTGAAATGGAACATGTGTAAAATTAGGTCTGCTTGCTTTTTACTTAATGGGTTTCTCCTCCATTTCTCTGTTTATATTACTGTATTTTTTAAAGTCTTTAAAAACATATTAAATTCCCCCACCCAGTAGTGGAGCCAGAACTTTTTCGGTGGGTGTCTCCCTTATTCCAAACTCAGACTCAGATTACCAGTGATGATGTCATAAATGTGTTCTGTGCCTTTGACTGAGCAAGTGGCTAAACTGCAAGTCTGGCACCGGTCTTAAGGATAAGTTGACCAAAAAGAGAAAGTCCAGGCAACAGGGAAAACGTTTGTGGGCATGTAGGATGACAGGACAGGAGTCTGGGTCCGTGGGGTTCACCGGGGCTTCGCTCCACAAGCACAACAAGCACATGGTTAGTAAGCGTGCGCCTGAGATCTCGAGCGGAAAACAGAGTGACAGCATGCTGGGCAGGGAGTGGTGGGCATTTCACTCCATCACACTATTGTTCATTGTCTAGGAACAAATTGTGGGCCTAGCATGTGACACGTCAGAATTTTTGTGTTATGGTTTTCAATTATATTACACTACACACTTGTTCCTCAAAGTGTCCACAATGATGGCCTCAAGGTGAACATTGCAGAGAAGTCTTTGCCCCCGCAAGGAACAGATTTAAGACCTTTTGATTGAATTGATGATTTATATCACTGGCAAATGGAAAAACAATGAAAAAAATTACAGCAGTGGTTTGGGGTCAATAATTTCTTAAAAGAGTCTGTGTGGATGTTGTGGTATATAGAAATTTTGTAGATCTTTGCTGTCAGCTTGTTTGGACTGTTTTCAAGATCTGTCCTCAAAATGTTATTTTGGAAACTCAGACCAACAGCCACGTTTTCAGCTTGACTGGCAAATATAGTTTGTCAGATGACACAGAAAAAAAATGAAAGAAGACAATAATGATAAGCTCTCCTGCATGGGAAAAAGAAATCATTTTCAATGAAAATGCTTTAGTATAACAAAAAGACTGCGGCACCCACATGCCGTGTATCTGTAATACTGTTTATGTGTGAGTGAGGTCAGAGCATTGACAGATAGAGCAATAACAGTCACATTTCCCCTTCGAGTTGGACCGAGAGTGACACATAAGCCCAGAAATGATGACAAACAGTTTGCGTGCGCCATTATTTTGTGTGTGTGTGTGTGTGTGTGTGTGTGTGTGTGTGTGTGTGTGTGTGCGTGTGTGTGTGTGTGTGTGTGTGTGTGTGTGTGTGTGTGTGTCGACGGGGAAGCAAGAATAATGATGCTATGGTTTACATGACATATAAATGTGACAATACACATTCAGACATGCATACAATGTGTGTCAGTGCAATGTGAGTTAAGATGCATTCCCACATAAATTCTTATTCATTCAGACAAAATGATGGACTCTGGATGGTTCAGCCTTGAGAGTAAGGCTGCCCAAATCTGGTCCTCGAAAGCCTCTATCCAGCCTGCTTTAGATGTCTCCCTCCCCAAGAACACACTAGATTCAAATGATCAGGATCCTATTCAAGCTTCTGCAAAGCTTGATGATGAGCTGGACTTGGGTATCCCTGCTTTAGGGACTCTGTGTGTGTGTGTGTGTGTGTGTGTGTGTGTGTGTGTGTGTGTGTGTGTGTGTATATGAGAGAGAGAGAGAGAGAGAGAGAGAGAGAGAGAGAGAGAGAGAGAGAGGGCGAGAGAGAGAGAGGGGCTGGCTCAATGACTGATGGCTACTTACTACTGCTCGGAATGAGATCTCTGTCTGGAAGAAACAGCTTGTATCCATAGTGTTTCTCCAAGACGTCAGGCAAGATCTCCAAAGCAAAGGTTTCCTCGTCACTGCTTGTTCTGCATTCAAACGCAACAAAATGTTTTTTTTAATGCAAAATCCCGTTTGTAATGTCAATGCTAAAATATGCAAGTACTGTAAATGTGATGTGGTACATTAAAGTAATTTCCACATCACAGCACCAGCTCAGTTTGGCTTTGTTCAACTCTGCTCAGTTTCGGCTAGTTCCAAGAAACAGAAAAAAACAAAAAACAAAACACAGCACACTGAACCCAAAGGCACTCTACAACAAATGACAAATAGATTTCTCCAGTATTTACTGCACTTCTTGCTATGTAGCTGCTGGGAGGAATTTCATTCAAGAGGTGATAGATAATATTGGCCAGGAAATATTTGAAAATGTCTTTATTTTTTGCAGTTTCTTGCTGTGTCTCATTCTAATGTTACAATAATGACTCTGCTCAACTGATGAAAAACTAGTGGTGTTATGTCACTCTTAATGAATAATCTATTTAACTTTGAACCCTGGCTGAACACATACTTTAAACAGTGCCTTACAGTACCTGGTTTTCACAATGTAAATGCTTCAATAGCAGGAGGAGCCCTATAAAGCCAACTCTGTGTAAAAAAAAAAAATGGCTGTTTCTTAACTCACTGCAATTTCTTATACAAGCTTGCACTTCACTGACTACGAACTTACCTCAATTAACCTATGGCCCACTTCACCAGCGGAGTAGGCAAAACATGTATTGTATAATGTGTCTGTGCTGTATAAGAAAATACATGAATACAGCAGGTACTGTATGCTTACCTGCCCAAAGAGTCCAGATCCACTTTGGTATAAGATAGGTAAGCGTCATACTCCTTATTATCTGATCAGACATACAGACATACAGGACACATAATGCAATTTTAGGTGAAACATGATCGACCTTTAGGAAGGCAATGGCAGTATTTGATAATAACTTGTGAATCGCAGCTCATATTTCTATTTTCAAATATTTCACAGACTGACCATTAATGTGAATTTAGTGAGAGAAAATAAATCCATCAAATCTGTCAGAATGATGCATTGCAATTAAATACAACCAATAACAAATACAGAAATTAAATAAACAACTCTCTTGATGGTTTCAATCAAAGGTAAGCATTAACTTTGTAAAGACAGACTTGTTGATACAGCTCCTGTGTTTAGTAATTTCTTTTCTGTAAAGCTGATCCTGTTCAGATTGCGGGGAGCGGGAGCCAGTCCCAGTTGAGTGGCAAAACTGACAAAATGGCAGTCAGGTATGTTTGCATTGGAATAGATTGTAACAGGAGTTGCTGGTCAACACATCATATCAGAGAGGTAAGCATTAACTTTGTAAAGACAGACTTGTTGATACAGCTCCTGTATTTAGTAATTTCTTTTCTGTAAAGCTGATCCTGTTCAGATTGCGGGGAGCGGGAGCCAGTCCCAGTTGAGTGGCAAAACTGACAAAATGGCAGTTAGGTATGTTTGCATTGGAATAGATTGTAACAGGAGTTGCTGGTCAACACATCATATCAGAGAAAAAAAGAAAACTTACCATCTTCCGTTTCATCACTGCCAAAATGTCTCCTGTAGCATAGCATAAGTTCCAGGTTGTAGCATTTATAAAGGGCTGTGAGTACTCCTAGCAGCAGCAATATGACACCCAGACCACCAGCCAACTCCAAACGATACATATCTGCACTCAAAGAAAGAGGGGGAAAAAAAGAGCAAAAATAAAATCCAATTAGTGAAACATCCCCCAAAAATAACAAAAAAAATCAAACAAATAAGTCCAATTAAGGAGCCAGATAATTTCTCAGAGGTCACATTACTGTCGATTTGAGTGTGACATGATTGAAGCTCTAACTTCCTGGACTGCCTCATTGTAACACAATGTCCTAACTTTCTCTGTTTAAATGTGAAAAAACAAAAACAAAACTCTCTCCATGAAATACTAGAATACAACTATTAAAATGCAATTATTCCTTCATTCGTCAGCACAAATTATGCAGATGCTGATTTTGTTAATTATTAAGTATGTTGAACATTCCTGCCAATTATTCATGAACATTTCTCTGCTTTCTTTGGCAATTGAAACCTCTACCAGTATATCCGTTCAATAGAGAGATCTGACAGTGAAAGACACAAATAAGTTCAATTTGATAGTGTCTTTGTTTGACAACTATGAAAGGAGCGATAAAAGCCTGGTTGGTCTGGCATAGTGTCACTAAAGCTTCAATTCTTGCTCGGTTAATTGGATCACATAATTAACTTGAAATCACAAGTTAGAAAAGTGATTACAAAAATCTGTGCCCTGGCACATTAGCGTGCCGTGACAGGTTAATCGGGTCAGATGTGCCATCATTAGTCTGAAATGTATTATGTATTCACTGCAAAATGAGTATCTTTGTTCGTCTATTGTCTAGCAAGAACTACATGCTAGATAATAGCAGAATATCCAAATTACCTGTTTATCCACCTGTTGATATTAAAAAAAGGGCTTCAGCTAAACAGGCTGAGCTTTGATATGGAGTAAGTCAATTTTTTTTCCCAATATAAACATGTAAATTTTTTCTGAAGTTCGTGTCTGAAGTTACGCCGGGAGGTTTCTCATGTAAATTGTGTGTGTGTCAAATATGTGCCTTGGCACCACCCCCAAAAGTTGGGAAAAACTGATTTGTACCACAGTATGAGTTTGTTCAACTCTTAAGGAATTTCCATCAGGATCTTCCAAATGAGTAAATTATTGTCAAATAATCCTTGAATTAACAAAAGTTGAGCCTCACCACCTAAAAAGTTGCCTTTAATATGTGTGACTGAAGACTTCACGATGGCATGTTGCACCGGCTGTATACAAAAAGTCCCAGTCAAGAATTGTAAGCGTGTGAGTTTTGACTGATAGTGTTATCATAGGCAGGAGTGGAGCAGAGTGGTGGGAGAGTGATGAATGATCATGGATGCTGAATGACACCATTGTAAATGTGATCTATTACCATCTTGTCTCCCTTGAGCACACGGGCAGCTTTAAAACCCAGAAAACCAGGTTGGTACTTGAAGATTTCACCACATCTCCCCTATATCTGCACACGTCTTTACACATCTCACCCACTTCTACCGATACTGTGAAGGGAGCAGCTGCAGGGAAATGTGTGCATTCACTATTGAGGCTCTATTGTAAACAAACAACTAAAGACGCTTTCGGAGTACAAGGCCTCAGGAATGATGTTTGACTTGTCTGAAGTGAAATAAACCTCCATCTATGTGTTAATAATCCACAGTAGCCATGCCCTTTTCGATGCCAAATGTGCTTCTCATTAGTTGCCGAGGCTGTTGAACAGTTCAAAGGAGGTCATTTTCAATGCCTAATGTGTTCCTCCTATTCTCCTCCCTGCTTCGACCGCCTGCCTGTGACCCAGGAATTGATCTCAGCACGCCTTCGTGAAAGACATCTCAATTTCTAAAAATGTGTCTGTAGCAGGCGCCGACAAACGTGGAAGGTTGAGAGAGCATGCAATGGGCTTTTCCTTTGAGGGGGATTTTCCATTGCACTGACACAACGGCAGACAAAACACAAAAATATGAAAGAACTACAGTCTGGCAGATTTTCTTGTACAATTAGTTGAATTCTCTGCAGGATGAACCAAAAACAGAGCAAATCATTAGTCAAATGGCACAAGAACGACTAACAATAAATAAAGAGCTTGGAAGAAAAGTCATGACACACAAATTAACACTGAGACTGTAGCTACAAATACATAAACATTCAATGTTCACTCCATCATTGCTGCCTGATCAAAACCAAGAACTTTTATTCCAGGAACAAACATAAAGACAACACATGTCTGTCTCACCTGAAGAATGGAGGTACAAAGGAAGGAAAACTGAAAGTTCTTTCATTTTCACTTCCTGCAGGAGTGATGGTTAAAGTCTTTCATTTTCACTTCCTAAAACAGTGATTTGTCAGTTATGGATTTTTGTCAGGTTTTGCATTAGTCAAGGGCGTCACTAGGTTTCAAGAACAAGGGGGGCTTAGCCCCAAGGGGAACACAGCCCCTTTAGGGGGGTCCGGGGGCATGCCCCCCCGGGAGAATTTTTTTCGACATTCTGTTAAAAATCCATCAATTCCGTGCACTTTGAGAGCAAAATGAAGAGGCTATGAAGAACTACACACATCACATTAGTATCCTCTTTACTATGATGGGGCTTCCTCCCCTGGACTTTAACTGGACTAGATAATAGAAATTATAAAGAGTTCAAAAGTTCAATCTTGGTTATTCAAGGGAATTAGAAGGATGCCCGATAACATAACCTATATGACAGTAGGCCTATATTCCTCTCTACCAAAATGTATTAATATATGCTTAGCCCCCAGAAGACTATGTATTTTGAGATGTCTGCCGTGATATGCAATTTTAGTACAATGAGATGCAAAAGCTTCATCACATTGGAAAAACACAAGTTCGCTGCTCAATACTTACTGTAAGCTCCGATTGCATTTTGGGAACAGCCTTGCAAGTAAAATTAGCCTTGAGATCTGATAGACTCACCTGTCCAGCAGAGACCCCCCCCCCCCTCACTCTCTGTGCGTCTTTAGCCTGATTCCTATCAAATAAATA